ATTATTTTCTTCTTGTTCCTGCTCTAATGATTTACAGTAAGCATGCATTACTTTACAATGAGCAAAAAGTCTTAGTAATGTTTTCCTTAAGAAAAATGGAGAGGCTCTCCCGTTCCAGGATGGATTTCCTCAGGGTGCTGCACACCCGACTTTAGGGAAATTGATCTTGATGGCCTTGTTTCAGCCACATAGCAGTCCACGTACAACCCTGTGTGGGTTATGTCATCCTATTGCATTAGATGTTCAAGCTTAAAGGGAAATGGAGGGAGAAAGAATTTTCTGCAGGCAGTGGACCACTGATTTATAAATCCCTTGTCAGATGCGCTTGGGATTTCAAGGTCTTAGACAGGGGCCTCCCTGCTTGCTGCATTTCTGGGTGAGTGGAGAGTCTTGCTCTCTGGCTTACCGTCCGACACAACCCCAACATACTTAGTGAATGGCATAAAGGTGGCTGTCAGGAGCCCTTTCCCACGCCAGAGGACACTTTCAGACACCTTGAACCTCGGGTTCAGAGTCAAGGGGGCACGATGCTGTTTGCCACCACTGCAACTTTGGGCAAACTGTTCAACTGCTCTAAGTTCTGACTACGAAAAAGATAACCACCTCACTTCAGTGTTAGGCACTGGACTTTTTGGCCCCCATAGATCTCATGAATATCCTCATAATAGGGGCCCCCTGGGAGCTCTCTTTCAACTCAGTGAGGATCTAATACAAAGCCAGCAGTCTGCAGCCAGGGAGAGGGACTCCAATCTTGTTGGCACTGTCATCCCAGACTTCTGGTCTGCAAAGCTATGACAGCAAATTTTTGTGGGTGATAAGCCACCCCATCTTGGGTTTTGTTACAGAAGCCTGAACTAAGCTGCCCACTGGGATACAGCAAAGACTCCTTGTCTGTTCCTGTTAAGCATCTAACAACTCCCAGAGGGTGCATATTATTACAACTCCTATTAGACCTGTGATGTTTCCTGAAAACAGCACAGGCTTTGGCCCTTAGGGCTCAGATTCAAATTTCCCTTCATCAGTTATTAGCTGTGAGACATAGGGTGTCGCGTAAGTTGCCTGAGCCTCAGTCGTGCCGACTGAAAATGGGCCCACAGTACCTACTTCCACAGGTAGTTTGAAGGAGTACAGAGCATGGGTGTGGTGGACATGGTAGCTGACAGCAGCCAGGCAGGTGCAGTGAATGAGGGAAGCAAGCTGAGAGCCCAAGCTGAGGAGCAGCTAACTGGTCAGCCATGACTTAGCACCAGCTTTTACCATCCAGGGAGTCAGGACTGTGTCAATTACTGTCCCATCTCATGTTTTAAGAGAAACAAGAAGTTATACTTTTTGTAGGGCATTTTATAATTGTTAGGAAGCAGAAAACTTTAGACAAGGATGTGTAGGCCACCAGTTGGTAGGTTGGATTCCCAGGTGTTTCTTGGACTCTGCCAGGGGACTCTGCAGGAGGCAGATTCCCCACCCCCTTGATGTTGTTTTGATCAATGGATGCAGCACCGTGCGCACAACCTGGTGTGACTGCTTTCTCTTTGCTGTTTGCAAGAAGAACATGCCCTGGGGAGCTTCTGTCTTAGACAGACAGGAGGGGCAGACCTGAGGCAGAGGATTCCCAGGTGACCTATGTTCTATAAGGGAGAACGAGCCAATGTTGATTACTGTAGGCTGTTCAGATTTTGAGACTGTTACAGGGCAAAACCAACGGATAAAACTACAAGGTACGCTGGAGCCAGCTGGTACCCCCTCCCCACATGAAGATAACCAAGGAGAAGCATATAACTGGCGCATGGAAACACTTAATGAACCATTGTCCCCATGGCTATTATGGTTCTGCCAAATCTCACCGGTTTCTATAACAGAAGTTAGGCTCAGCCCCGTGTGTTGTCAAATGTTTGTTTTTGCAGATCTGAACCCTTGAGAAACTTGCAGATAACCATCTCTGTCTACTTTTCACCTTCTTACATACCTACAGGGAGAAACGTCATTCCTAAGTTGTGCCACAGGATGGCTGGCTGACAGGGTTTCAGGATTTCTCACTCTGAGTTTTGACTACACCTGTTCCATTCACAGGCACAGTAGAGGTTAGATGTTAAGGATACATCTTTACATCTTCTGAGAGCTGGAAAGGTCTAGTGGGACAGTGTAGGGTATTCTACTCCAACAACAACAGATGGAAAGTGCTAGGGTAGCAGCAAGAACCAAGCGTACTGGGACCCCAGAGGGGAGAAAGGACCCTAACCAGAGCTGGTGAGATGTTTTGGGGAAGGTGAAAATCAAGCACGGCATTTAAGGATGAATACATAAGAAGGTGGGGAAGGGCATTTTGGAAGAAAATACATGGGGGCAGGCACTGTGGTACAGCAGGTTAACGCCCTGGCCTGAAGTGCTGGCATCTCATATGGGCACTGGTTCGAGACCCGGCTGCTCCACTTCCAATCTGGCTCTCTGCTATAGCCTGGGAAAGCCGTAGAAGATGGCCCAAGTCCTTGGATCCCTGCACCCGCGTGGGAGACCTGGAAGAAGCTACGGGCTCCTGGCTCCGGATCAGCCCAGCTCTGGCTATTGTGGCCACTTGGGGAGTGAACCATCTGATGGAAGCCCATTCTCTCTCTCTCTCTCTCTCTCTCTGCTTCCTCTCTCTGTGTAACTCTGATTTTCAAATAAATAAATCTTTTAAGAAAAGAGTTTACCAATGATAATTTGACATGGAGAGTTGGGGCGGGAGACAAACTGCAAGTTCTCTTCGCAGTGCATTAGGGAGAAAGAAATAAGGTAGCGATTTCCCTATATTGCCTTTGGTTCTGTTGCTACCATCTACACATTTTCCTCAAAATGCTAATGTTCTAGGGAGGCAATGTGATGCACCAGGGAAAAATAGAGTATGCAGTTAAGGGAGCTACTGATTCACATCCCATGGTGTCTGGGAGCAGGGGCAGTCACTTATTGGAGCTGACCCTGGGCCCATCCAGATGGCCTTCACAAAGCCAGCATGTCCATTGGGCTGTGCAGCTGGCCTTCTCCTTGCAGACCTGCTGTCAGCTGATGGGAGCCCTCTTGCTCTGAAGGTGACGACCTCGTCCCACGTCCAGGATGGTCACACATCCTGGATGGGCCTAACCAATGACTGACAGACAGAGATGTGCAAAAGGCCAGCACAAGACGGGCGACTGTGCAAGGAGGTGACGGGTGCTACAAAACTCTCCTCCCAGTGCACCAGGCCCAGGAAAGACCTACTTGGTCAACAGTTTATCTTGGCTTTTCCCCTTCCTCATCCTGCTTTTGCCACTTCCCTAGAGGTTTCTCTCCCTCTCCCTCTCCCACCAAGAACATCCCCATGATAAATCTTGTGCTGCTGAATGCCCATCTAAAGCTCTGCTTCTGGAATCCCAACCTAAGACACACGTCCTCCCACAGCTTCCCTTTCCAATCACCTCTTTCCAGAAATCAACACGTGTGCATGGTTCATCGCTGTCCTCCTGCATCTACCTCATCGGTGCAGAGTGCAACGATCTGAAGACAGTTCTTTAAATATAAAAGATACTCCAGGCCGGCGCCGCAGCTCAATAGACTAATCCTCCACCTAGTGGCGCCGGCACACCGGGTTCTAGTCCCGGTTGGGGCGCCGGATTCTGTCCCGGTTGCCCCTCTTCCAGGCCAGCTCTCTGCTGTGGCCAGGGAGTGCAGTGGAGGATGGCCCAGGTGCTTGGGCCCTGCACCCGAATGGGAGACCAGGAGAAGCACCTGGCTCCTGGCTTCGGATCAGCATGGTGCGCCGCTGCACCATGCCAGCCGTGGCAGCCATTGGAGGGTGAACCAACGGCAAAAGGAAGACCTTTCTCTCTGTCTCTCTCTCTCACTGTCCACTCTGCCTGTCAAAAAAAAAAAAAAATACTCCAGTGACCTTCCCATGCTCCATATGAGAACTCTTTTAGAAAAGATTGTCAAGAGATACACTGAGTTTTAAAACTGGGAATACTCAGGTTCACGTCTTCTCTGTGGAGCTGTTGTGCTCATCAGCTGAAAGCATGCCCAGCGCCTTAGGCGGAGGTCTCCATGCAGAGCACACGCACTGCGTGAAAGCACCTGCCTCCTCTTGATTACAGTTCCAGGAGCACCACCCAGTCCTCATGGCCACGTCCTCGGCTGGCACAGCCCAGCACAGCCCAGCACGGAGGAGGCACCCCTGAGTCTTCTCGGGGAACGGCAGTGAGCAAGGAGAGGAACATACTTTATGCAAGATGACAAGGACGGCAGGACAGTTCTCCCACAGCCCTCTCCTGCCTTTGTCACCTGCAGTTCTCAAGAGTCACTGCAGCACCTGCTGGGAGAGCAACCTCCCGAGACACACAGGTGATGATCGGGCCTCCAGGGCTCTGATCTCATGGATGGAATTAGGCCATTGTTAGGAGTGGGTCAGTTTTCCTGGGAGAAACTTCCTGAGGGAAGGGCTCTCCCCCACTTGCCTTTCCTTACACTCTTGTCTTCTCGCATGGGCGGACGCGGGTAAGAAGACTGCTGCTAGATGCCAGTGTTTTGACATTAGACTTTCCAGCTTCCAGGACAGTGAGAAATACATTTCTTCTGTTAGCAAATTACGCAGTCTGGGTTATTCTGCTGTAGCAGCACAGAATGGACTAAACACCCTCCAATGCTTTAGCCCCGTGTGGGGTGTGACCCGAGGCTAGAAAACCCAGAGTAGGCAGCTTCCTGGGATTTCTTACTGCAGGGCAAGACATAGTCCACCTTGTGTAGCTTTCCTCAGCCGTGTGGGATGGCTTCTGTGTCCCTTGCCACCTCCTTGTAGGTCATAAATCTGCTTCATGTAGCTTGTGTGTGAGTGTGTTCTGTACATTGAATTTGGCAGCCAGGGCACCGTGGACCTGGTTCCCACAGCTTTCATGATCCACTCCATTTGGAGACTGACCATAAAACCGAAGCCTAATCCTCATAAATACGTGCAGACTGCTATACATGTACACACACAAACAATCAGATTCCCTTGCTTTGGTTGTTAACACAGTTTATTATTGGCACACTTATCAGTAAAGCATACATAAAATACAGCTGTCTTGTAACACACAGAGCCACTGTGCCTTTACATGTGTGGAAGAACATATTAATATGCAAATGGAAAAATTAGTTATCTTAGAAAGTTTCACATAAATACACTGGAATTGCCCAAACAGAAAAGTCCCCGTAAAAGAACCAGGTGAACGCTTTACAAAATATTATACAAGAAATATACTATGAAAAGAAAGAACGATCAACTCAGATATGATTAAAACAAAGTTTCAGCTTTATGAAACTGCCCGCTAACTTAATGGATTACATGTCTTGAAATATTTGGATCAACAGCAACTTCATAAACGCATAAATGCTCAAGGGTCCAATTGTCCTTCTTTACATGACAATCTGCCTTTGTGTCCTTAGTGACAAAAAGACATTTCTTGTTTCAGCACTCGGGCTCAATTGACCCCACTCAGACTCAAGAACCAATCAACGTCACCTTGACCATAAGTTACCTGGCTGGGTCCTCTTCACTGTTGCCCAATGAAAGAAAATGCAAAGGAAAAAAATACATTTAAATTACTTCCCCAAAGCTGATTTTTTTTCTTTTCTTTTTTTACTGAAACAAGAAACTCTCAGATGCAAGTCAAAAAGCAGAAAATATTTTACAATATTAAAAAGTCATCTGCAGTTCGGTTCGGTTATGAACGAGATCCTGAGCACTGAGCACTGATGGACAGCATGGCCTTCGGTGGAAGCGCGGGAAGGAAGCTCAACACAAACACGAAGTCAAACCGTGCCAGGAGACACGCTAGCATTTTCTCTCCTTTCAGTACGATCAGTGCCAGCGTCTGTGTTACCTGTCAAGGCCTCCAAGGAAGGGTCATGGAAGCTTATTTGGAATGCTCCTCTCAATTAAAAAGGAAAAAAAAAAGGAAAGAAAGTCAGATCATTGTGGTTTAGAAATAAGTATTTGCTTGGAAAAGTTTTTAATCTCTCCTCCTTCCTCTCCTGTAAGTAAAGATCTGCGATATTGGGAGCACACCCCACGGGCCTATGGGTAGTGGGTTCTGGTGCCGACCGAATGACCGATGGTCTTATTGGGAAGCCTGGGGTGGGGGGTTTTCTGATTTGGTCTCTTGAGCGGCGGGAGGTTTATTGTTCCACGGGCTGTTGTTCCCCAGGGCGGGTGAATTGTTGAAGTCCTCCTCGTCGTCCAGGCCGTTGGCTGCATCATATTGCGTGTTTTCTAATCTAGTGATTAGCCTTTCGTCCTCGTCCCCAAACTCACCTCCCATCAGAGTTGGCTCTCCTACCACCATCACATCCTGTGAACAGCAGCTGACATTATTACAGGGAAACCTTGGGAGAGAGAAGCTCAGCTTAAAACAACAGTGGGAGGAGCTGGGGGATCTAGGACAGACAACGGGGTCAAGTCTCAATGTCGGGGGGCCGAGACGCATATGTGATTTCTACGGGAAATAAACATTGCCTCCTGATGTGTAACAACCACGCGAGTTTATGTCCTTAGTGCGCAGCCTGACACCGGAGAACGAGCAATGCTAGCAATCTGCAGAAATAAAAAAATGGATTTTTCAAAATTAAAAAAATCCACGCTTTGAACTTGCTGACACTGGGGACTTTGGAGAGGGCTGTGGAACCTTCTGCTGGGTGCTTTGCAATACCTCCAAGAATCCGCCACTTTCATCACTGGCCTGAGAGCGGCTTAGGAAACTAGCGGCAAACGGGGACATGCGTAAGGTGCAATTCTGCGACATTCTCACAACTCATTCCAAATGGGATTTTCTCTGTCCCAAAGATGGTATACATTTTAATTGAAGACAGAATCTCTCTTTTTCTCTACTCAGCCAGGCCCTTTTATGCAGCCAATATCCTTGACATTCTGCTACTTAATTATGGTAATTAATTTAGGTAAAGTTTTCGATAAAAACAATGTTCACACTGATTTGACAATTTGCATAGCTAATTAAGTCATTAGCAAAAACCTGCTGATTGCCAACAAGCCCTGAATTTACCATCTGTTATTTCATGGTGCCTGTCACCTATCCCCACACAGGCAACCCTGCCACCAATCTGGGCAGTAAAGAGAACCAGTGTGTCCAGCTGGTGCCGTAAAAGGAAGATGAAGAGCACTAATTATAATTACATCGACGAAGCTGGTCGTCATCAGAAATGGAAGCAGGCGAGAAGAATCCCTCTAATCACTCCTCTAAGTACAAATTGTTCTTCCATGCAAACAAGGAAGCCACCTACTGGATCTGGGACACCTGAGGCGGCCACAGCTGGAGAGGCCCAGCGACCAGGGGAAAGGTGCACACTCTTGGGCATAGCTTTGGCCTCTCTGTTCAAAGGGGACACTTTGGGTGACGTGGGTTTGAAGCAGGACACCTACTGGGCAGATTCTTCTGTGCAGACTCTGAGCAAGATTCTACTTAAAAGCCCAGAGACTCCCAGAAAATGAGTAACTGCTATCACCCTCGAAGGCCAGAAAAAGCAGGACTGAGCTGGATGCAGCTGGAGGTGTGAGGGTGGATTTCCTCGTGAGGGAGGCTGACTCAACAGCTTTGATGGGCAGTGTAGCAGAACACTGCCTACGGTCAGGAGAAGGGCTAGGGGAGTCTCCAGGTACTTTCTAGAACTTTGGCAGTGCCCATTGGACAAACCCCTTAATTACCAGCTAGTCTACTTTGGGAAGGAAACCTTTGTTTTGTTTATTCATTTCCCTGCCTTGAATTAGGGGAGATAATTCATAGGTTTCCAACTCATGTCTTCTGACTTACTCACTCCAGGGCATGGATAAAAAATGGTTTTTAAGAGAAATGTCCCAAATGCAGCAAATGCCTACCAAGTGAATTGGTAAACACAGCAATGCAAGTACCTTAGGATACTGAGCTGGGTGCTTCCAAGAACATACGTATTAGGCAATGGAGAACCAGAAATGATGCTGACATGTGAGAAGACTCATGAGGGTGCTTCAGGTGAGATGTGCAAAACAGACACTGTCTTTGGCAAGAATGATGATAGAATTTTAGACAGAGGATGGCCACCACAGTGACGTGTGAAGGTTATTCGGTTAGTTGGGCAGTCGCCACAGGACTGCTGAAGGTGTTCTCAGATTACGAAATAGTGCCCCTCGGTTACACAGGCAAGTAGGAGACCACACTGATGATCGGGAACAAAGGAAGGTGGAAAGAGTCGGGCAAGATTGTCTGGAGCATGACATGAGCGCTCCTCTCATTTCATGCCTGTGCACAGCACCCTTCGAAGGGCTTGGAAACACATGCATCAGGTGTCTTTGGCCAGGAGAAAGATGTTAGCACCCCCAGTGTGGCTCCATGTTAGTACTGGGACCCCAAGGTCAACAGAGAGGCTCAGAGAGTTGGAGGAGATAAGTGTGGTTTGAAAAAAGAGGAGAAAAATAAGAAGCAGATAACCTCAGCATATTAGAGAAAACCTCCCCAGCACTGCGGACGCATTCACCGTATTAGAAAGTAACAGTCATCTAAGGAAAGCACCATGAAAATAGTGGTTGAATCACTTCCAATGGGGCTAACACAGGCTTGTCATGTGTGCAATGAGTCTTTGTCCTAGAAGCAGCTGACAGATTCCCAGGCAGAGGGGCTTTTAATGATCTTAAACTTCAGGGGAATGTCATATTTGCTTTACTGATGACAAGATATCCTTAGAACATGATCGTGTGTGTGTGCGTGCGTGTGCAACTGTTATACGTAGGACTTCACGGGCACATGGAAACTTAAAGCCACTTACAAGACAATGCACCTGTTTCTATTTGGTTCTTCCAAAGCTCAGGACTAGGATAAAACTTTTGTGCTCTGGCAATCTTGGTTGTTCTTTGTTTTTTGCACACAAAACAAATGGAGACATGGTGCACACTCTGGGCCGCCTCTAGCTCGGGTGTCTTAGTAGCATGTCCCCCCACCTCCACGTCTTTAAGAATCTCCCCACCACTGGTGTGAGAGCATTTCCTTCCCACTGCTGTCCTGTGTGTCCCCCGGAAGGCAACAGGGATCCCCCCGAGAGCAGCCCTCGGTTGCCCACAAAGGTGACCTGGGTACCTCGGCTAGAAGCCTGGAGGTGCCACCAGCCTTTTCCCACTTTGTATTTTCTCACTAATCCCCCGTGCAAGGACCACCAACCTCTGAGGAGGACTGGAAGTGACTCCTTTCAGGGCCCCTCAATGCTTCTCCTTAAATTGGCCAGAAGGGGTCACTGCTGCTGAATGACACAGGTCTCCATCCCTCCCAGGGTTGAGGCTGCAGGTCGGGATCGCTCCTAGCCCCTGCTCATGGAGTGAGAAGCAGAAGCCAAGGATTAAACCCTACTCCTGTCCACACACACACTCTGCTGCCATGGCAGCTGCATGGGCCACGGCTGTGGTCATGGGAGCAGGCCACTAATGCCCACAATGGCAACTCTACTCCAGTAGTCAGCCCATGTGGATGGCTCATAGACAGTGCTGGAAGATGTGGCCGCTACAAGCCATCCCATGGTGATCATTCAACACCCACTCAACTTGAGAACACCTAAGAATTTGCAACACTTTCCCAACCTTGCTGTCTTCCTTGCCTCTCTGAGCCATCTGAGAGGCTCACTTGACTCAAAGAACCCTTACGGGGAAAGTGCTGAAATTCAGCTGTCACTTTCTACAGGGTCTCAGTTGTCACAACTTACTAAAAACCCTGGAAACAGGGATCCTTCACCAAAATGCAACTAGTGGTTTGGAGGACAGACACATAATGCAGCAAATTTTTTAACAAGTGCTCTTTAAAATAAAATTGAAATGACTCTGATGATACCACGCAAGGCAAAATATACATGTGGCCTGCCACCCTCAACTTCTATTCCTGTGGCAGGCATCACCAATGGATGACCTATGAAATCCAGTATAGGTCTTGGAATCCTTCTCCATGCTCTGCTTTATGGCAGGACAGAGGAGAGGAATCCTCTTTGCTATCCCTAGATGAAGCCGTGAGCTTTCCGGCTACAGGACCTGGGTCTTTTTGTTAAATTTTGATATTGCAAGTATCTGGAATCGTGTGTGGAGAATATAATAGGAGCTCAGAAAACATTTCATATTTGTTGAGCTGCTCAGAATTCCTTTTTTTCTTTCAAAACATATTTTTAAATTTTAATGTTTTAGTATATTCTTTTAATGGACACACAATGATTGTGCATATTTATCTGACCTGGGGATCTGAATTCTCGTATGTGCCCTTCAGTAGCAATTCCACAGCTCTTGAATTCTCTGGAAGACACTTTGTTCATTTGTTACAAGGAGCTAACAAATGTTAGTTTCCCAAACTCCAGAATTAAGAGAGTAAGTGGGCACTTTTTGGGCTGATTTATGTACATCAGACCATTCTTCCTATACATTTTCTGATTTAAACAGGAATGGGTTTAATTGTGATATTTCAATAAAGACACTCAGTTTTTCTCCTTAGAGTTCCCCCTTGACCTTCAGGGGGTGATAAGTGTAAAGTTCAGTTCAGAAAACACAGGGCCATTTGAAGACTATTTTCATTACACAAGGACAGTGAGTCCTCTTGGGCTTAAGATGAAGATGGCACCTTCCCTAGCAAGCTGCCAGTCTCTCCAGAGCCCCTTCCTTCTGCTGAGGGGAATGGGGACCACGGCCCCTTTCTATGAAGGAGAGGAGGAGTCTCATTTGTCCAGGGGATTCTCGGGGAACGGATGGACTTGGTTTTGGCCACAGAGAACAGACCATTGGAAAGTGGGTGGGGGAAGACTGGAGAGGCACATTTAGAAGCGAATGGGAACTCCCTGTGCCAAAGGCTACTCTTACAGGGAGAGGGATGGAGCAGGACAAGAACGAAGGGTGAGGGCAATGGACCAAAGGGGAGGACAGAGCAAGATGGAGAAGGTAAAATGGTGTCGGTTGCTGGCAGTAAGTAAGAAGAAATAGGGTGCACTTCCGAAGATACTGTATCTGGAGGGTATCCATGAAGCAGCAAGAAAGTGCCAGGATTCACACAACAGGCAAGCACCTGGAGACAGGGTGACGTGACAGGGGTGGCAAAGAAGGAGGACCCACAAGGAAGTGTGGTGGTGGGGGAGGGACAGCAGATATTTAGGGGAGCAGGAGGACTTAAATGTATGACCTACTAGTGGGTCGGGGTTAGCAGAAAGGAAGGGAAGAGGCAGGAGGGACAGAGCTGGAGAAGAAACACTGGGGGAGAAGGAAGACCCTGTGGGGTGCATGCTAGTTGGCAGTTTCAGAGTTCAAGGAAGCCCCTGTCCAAGCGGCCTTTGGCAAGACCCAGAAATGAGAGCAGAAGGTGAAGGGACCACGAGAGCTGAGACGGAGCCCGGAGCTGAGCCTCCCCTGAGATAAGGAGCCGGGTAAAGGGAAATGGCGCGTGGCTGCTCCTTTGTAGTGGCTGCGAGTTAATGACCTGAACCCTAAACCTAGAGGGGACGCCCATGCTGGCACGGCCCAGGCAAATTACAGTGCTGGGCCTGCGTGCCGGGGGCCAGCTTCCCGTGGGGCACCGAGTCTCCCACGCAGCCGCCACCAGGCAGGCTGTGATATTTTAATTAAACTTTCAGGGACTTAACTCCTGCCTGTGATGCTGACGGCTCTTTCATTCGGGCTCCACTGCAGCACCAACTCTGAATATTCCTTTCTAGCTCCCAAGTGGCAGGGGAAGGTCTCCATGACGGGGCTCATCCCTCCCCTCCCAGCCCCACCACTGCCTCCCCCACCTCCCACAGGCCCAGAGGCTTCTGCAGCTAACGGAGACTTTAACCCAGGCCCCTGGCATAGGAAGACAGGCAAAGGCAGATTTTAGTCCTAGAAGGAAAGCGAGACTTACAGGTACCTGACTGGACAGACTCAGGTTTGCCGCTGGGGTTTTCTTCTTGCTGCCGGTGCTGTTGGCCGTGTTCCCGGCGCTGCTGTTGGACGTGCTGCTGGTGGAGTTTTTCCTTTTTCTCCGTTTGGTTGTTGGTTGCCGTGTGGGTTCTGCTGCAATAGGCAAGAGGGGAGAGGGATCAGCTCCAGGGTGACCACCAGGATCTGATTTTGAGCAATGGACAGAGTAGGCTGTATACGTTCTTCCTCGTTTCTCGTAAACTCATAAAAAAGTAAATTGAGAACGCTGCTGACGTGAGCACAGAATGTGTGAAACTCTCTCCTTTTGTTTGTAGATGACTTTTTGTCAATTGCTCTTTCTGCAGTGATTCCACACCTGTAATTCCCTGGTCTATTTTAGCAGCGCACCACAAGTGCCACTTGCATAATTGAACTTAACATATGATCACCTTTGGAAAATTTGGGAATTTTTCTCCCCTGGAACTGTCTTCTCCTAATAATAAAGGAAAGATTCTTGCAGTCCCCTGGGAACCTCAGAGATAAGATAGAAGCCTAAACCTTAGAGAACCAGTGTGCAACAGCAGCCCCTACTGGCCCAGTGTCATACTGCAGCCTAGCTCTAGTATACCTTGACACTCTCAAATCAAAAGAAAAAGCCAGAGTTCTATCAGCCATGGATGAGTAGCTTAGGGATTCCCAGACTCAGTAGGAATATTCGTGGTTGGAACCCGGCTGTTCAATGAATGCCACTAATTCCAAAATTGCTGGGGGAAAGGGGTCAGCCTGGTATCATCTCTGTTTTAACAAAGGGAAGCTTCATTATCCTCTTCAAGAAAGGCCTATTCAGAAATAGAGAAAAATATTTTGGATCCAAAGGATGGATGGGGCAACATCTTAGTGGAAATACGGGCACCCATGGAGGCATGCAGCAAGAGAACGTTTATTATGATGCACAGAACATTATGCAATATCAGACACTATCCTTAACATCGCCAATACATTGACTACTTTATATTCTGACTGATTTATTAATCGTGTGCTATTATTATAATCTTTGTTTTGTAAATCAGGCATTTTCAAAAGCCTTTCCCAGGCAGAAATTGAGTATGTTGGAAAGGGCAGGGAAGATCATGGTTTTTGCTAAGCATCTTTCAGGCCTGACTCTAATGGACAGGAGGCATGCCAAGGCCATGCTGGAACCAGCTGAGAGGGCCTTGGCATAGCTCCTTAAAATACCCCTGCAGCTTCCGAAGGAAACCGGGGACGAGTCCTCCTTCGTCCACAAAGCTAGCCCTGACTGTTGATGAGGGATCAATGATTAAATGATACTGCTCTATGATTTTATATATAATATATATCATAATGTTCCTACGTATCTCCCTTTTTCCATCATAAATACTTTGTCTCTATACTCAAGATATTCCCCCAAAGAGTCTACCATCCCTTTGGTGTGTGGGTACTTGTTCAGAGGGTGATGGAAGCAGGGAATAGAACTGTGCTGATCTGCAGTGCTAAGCAAGGAGCTGAGCAGGACCTCCCAGAGCCCAGCTGGCACCAGGTCTACCTTGACAACTATCTTCTTTTCTTGACCTTCAGCATGAAACTCTGCTACTTTTTCTTGTACTTGTACCTTGCTCATGAAATTCGTGGTGAATGGATTACTCCCCTTGGCAGCAGGTAGCTATAGCAGTGAAACTATGAATTTTGGAGACACAAATGCCTTTTATGGGTGGCATGGTCTTCTCAGCTAGCCTTGAGACCAGCTTTGGCAAATGACTACCTGAGCCCTAGGTCTCTCACTATTCAATGGAGATTACAGTCCACATCTTGAGAGACTACTGTGAGAATCCAATGTTTTTGTTTTGTTTCATCCAGTGTATTACCCCCAATGCTTTTTAGAGCCTCAATATAGGATTATTGGATGAATGAATGATATATTAATTTTGTAGCCATGTGTTAAAAAATGTAGGTGCTCAAAGCATTTTGTAAGTGAATGGAGTATTTTTTCCCAAAAAAGCTTATTGATAGTGAAAGACAAATAAGGCCAAATGAAGAAGACTATAGAATGAGTTTGAAAAATAATATTCTGGGGGTCTGGCACTGTGGCGCAGCGGGTTAAAGCCTTAGCCTAAAGTGCTGGCATCTCATATGGGCACCAGTTCGAGTCCTGGCTGCTCCATTTCCAGTCCAGTTCTCTGCTATGGCTTGGGATAGCAGTAGAAGATGGCCCAAGTCCTTGGGCCCCTGCACCTATGTAGGAGACCCAGAGGAGGCTCCTGGCTCCTGGCTTCGAATTGGCACAGCTCCAGCCATTGCGGCCATCTGGGAAGTGAACCAGAGGATGGAAGATCTCTCTCTCTGTCTCTACCTCTCTCTGTAACTCTGTCTTTCAAATAAATAAAATAAATCTTTAAATAATAATAATAATAATAATAATAATATTTTGAAAGTCTAAAGTTCTAGAATGGGGATTCAACCATTCCATGAACAATAGTGCTTATTTTCTCAGACCTCTAAAGATGTGCTTGGTTAAATGTGCTATCTTCATTTTATACAGTGCTCCTGGCCAACTACCAACAGCAAGTGACCACTGTGATTCAGAAGGCTATTTGCCTCATGTTAATAATTACTCTTTATAAAAATAATTTTTAGCGAATGGATACGTTTTGCTTTTATGATCAATGAGGCTCAACACACGCCTGGGAGTGAAAATGTATTAGATAGAAAGACAATTAATGATGACTTGAAGCAGCAATTTCAGAAGCCCAGCAGGACACTGTAGTGTCTAAACTGCAGTCTAGGGAAAGTGAAGGAAATGAAATCTTTTATGTATTCCCTTCATGGTCAGAGTGCCTTATGAGAGAAGATACGTTAAAAATAGAGCAAGCTTTATTATTCCCCCTCCTGTCCCACCCTCTGGTCCTGTGGAGCAACTACAGGGTCAGGAGACAGGAATCCCCAGTCTGAGCTCAGCTTTGCCTATGACCGCCTTGGTGGCTTTGAACAAATCATTTCACTTTCTTGGACTTCAGGTCCTAACTGGGCAAGCAAGGAGACTGTAGGTCATTCCTAAGGACATTTGTCTTTCATGCATTTAATGTCTCTGTGTCCCAAATCATGGTCACGAGATCCCTCATAAGTGACTTTTCCTACAAATGCTCATCATCTCCTTTGTTTTCATTCCCAGAAGACGCTTCTAGCAGGCATTTGGGAAAAGAAGGAAGGTGTACCTGGCGGGGCCACCATCCGCTGCCACTTCTGAAACAAGCAGGTCTTGAGGCAGTCGCGGGGACTGAGGTTGTAGGTTTTGTGTCTGGACATCAGCTCCTGCATTGGCTCCAGTATTACACACAACTGCAAGGAGGGCAAAGGGATTGGTGTTTTGCTATTGGATAACATTAGCGACAATAATTAATGTTAACAACTAGACTCTATTAGACAGCAGAAGGATCCTTTCCTTTTCTCTGCTGGTTGTGATTTTCTGTATTTAGGAGCGGGGGAAAGGAAATAATAGAACCATTGATTCTATCAATTTAATATTGTCTTATCAATGTGAACTACATGTTCATATATGTGAGTCTCACACACACACACACACACCCCTTCTGTGCCGAATGTGCAGTGGATACACCGAGCTCCATTCAGAAATCAAGGGCCTCTCTCTGGTTAATGAAAAACCATTCTCTTCTAAGGAGCACAGCGAGCTCTGATTTCTGCTCTGGCCTCTGGCTCCTGTTTTGTTTGTACAGCCACACACTGCGAGTGACAATGCCTGTGTATGCAGATGATCAGGCAGTGAACTCCACCTTTTAAACTTTGGGAAAACACGGCCCGCTACAGGTACTTTTTGATCTTAATAAAGGCAGATGACGGATGCTATCTTAATTCATCCGCTCGTTTGTATCTTAGACATGCTGATATTGTCAATAACATATGCCCACACTCATTCTGTGGGGGAGGGTCCTCCGTGATGCTGCACACAGTCACCTCCTTGCCTCCTTTGGTTAGATTTTTCAGCTTGACTTTGGTTTATCTGAAGACAATGATTAATGAGTGAAACAAGAAGGTAAAACCATTCAGGATTGTCTTGGATTTTCTGAATTTCTTTTCAGGGAGAAGCTTATCAGAATACCAATGCGTTGAGAGGACAGGGACCATCATCTGGAGTGATACATCACTCACTGTTGCAATTAGAGTGCTACAAATATTGGCAATGCACTTGCCCTTGTGAACAAGCCTCACTTGATTATGAAAGACATACATGCTGTCTCCAGCTTCAACAGCTGCCTTCCTTGCTGCCCCTTCCCTTAGCCATCCCACACTGCATTTTGTCCACTCAACTTCCTCATTTTAGACTTCTTTCCTCCTTTGTCCTGGCTGATGCCCACTCATTCTTGGAGATACAGCTCCTTTTCCTGTTATACCTCCTCCCAGGTGTGTGCCTGTTTACCATGTTCCCTAGCACCCAGCCCTCTCTGCTCTACAGGCATCCTTAATTCGTGCTTTGTAACTATTCGCTTCCAAGGCCATCTTTTCCAGGAATGCTAAAATGATGCCTTTGGTCTGTGTTCCTAGGTCTGGCTCAAATGAGTGGTTACATTTCAGGAGTTATTCCTAGAAAGGCCAGAGGATCTTTCCAGGCTGATGCTCCTCAAAGTGTGGTCTAAAAAACACCACTCTCAGGAGCAAATGGCCTGGGAAAGGTGCACACTTGCAGGCTCCGCCTCTTCCATTCTACTGGATCTGGAAATGAAGTCCTGAATCTATGCTTTTAAAAACCACACCCTACAGAACTCTGATGGACCCTTCTGGTATTGGAGGTCCACTGTCCTACAGACTGTGGGCTTTAAAATGGAACATAGGAACAGCAAGCCGAGCACAAACTGCCAGCCCCTGCTAGCTCCCAGCCCCTTCTCACTCTTTCACGTTCCCTTTCTGCCTTCTGAAGGCTGAGCACGGCCATCTTCATCTGGAATGGTTCTTCACCCCTTTTTACCTATCAGTGACCTCCATTTGCTGAAACTACTAGCCCCATTCAAGGGTCCACTGTAATTTTCTTCCCCTGGCATTTTCTCTGGGTGAAGAGAGCGAGACTCCAAACCGTGGACAACACAGTATAATGTGCACAGCAGAGACAAAGCCGCCCAATTCTGCGGGCCATCCCAGAGAATCCAGTAGAGTAATGCGACCTGGATTCATTACAATGGATCTTCAGTCTTCTACATCTCCTTGCTTACTTTGCAGTCCTGTTTGAAATCTGAAATACCAGTAAGGAAAAACCTGTGACACAGGCAGGATTACTGTCCAATTGACTCCACATTCCAACATGGTGGAGCTCTACATGTGTATCTCCTAATAAGAACTCCTCCCTGGAAATGCATGCTTGTGCGTATTACACACAACCTCACTGCCTGTCCCAAGCACTGTTGCTCCCTAGGCCGGATGACTGAATGATGCTACAATCATTTCTGCAAGTAGAACTGGGAATGGATCATCCTGCAGAGAAAGAAGTAGCACTGGTAGCTCAGACAGGCTCAGAAGATGTCGCATCTATTACTATGTGACGATAGTAAGAAAAACTGTCAGACAACATCTAAGGACTGGGAAATATCTTTAAATAGGAAGTTAAAAATGGTTTTCCAAATATTTCCCTTAAGTTCATTTCCCCTTCATTGTTAATCAACATACTCTGGATATACACACATACAGTGAGGGTGGAATGGGGGAGTAGGCAGTGAAGCAGGGGGCCCCTCAATCTGAGAGGTCTGGGTATGAACTTGGACCCTGTTGCAAGGTGTGTATTGTTGGGTGAACTGTTTAATAAACCACGGTCTCAGTTTCATTTGCCAAACAATACCCGTCTTGTATACTGATGTGCAACCTTGAGCTATGGCTCACGCCTATGAGTTCAACAGTCTGTATGTATTATGACTATGTATGAGAAAACACAGAACAGGTAGCAGAACAAGTCACATTCTTATTTCTTGAAATCCTTTATTGGGCTTCCTTCTAAGTGTCAGGCATTCTGCTTAGGTGCAGCAGACACAAAGAGAATTCTACCCCTTCCAAAGTGCGGAAAGCATATGAAGAAGCCACCATGTGTTCCCAGTTCAAGCATCCCAGGAAATCCCACCCTGCCCAAGTGCATGATTTTCATTATTTGACAAGTTAGATGGCAAAGACGCCCTGCTTGGATCAAGAGAAAATGATGAGCATCAAACAGGCTACAGAATGGGAGAGTCACATTTATTATCAGAAGCCACCAGCTTCGGGTCTCTTTTTAACAGTGTCCTTTTTCTCCGCATTTGGGCAACATTTTTTTAGGTATGAATCCTCCAAATGTATCTCTTCCCCTTTAATTTAAAAATGTCTTCCCAGCACTGTAACTCACCCCAAAGGATCATGCTTCTCTGAATGCTAATTGAGAATCCCCAAGGCCATTTTTCTTCCAGTCCTGTGTTCCTGGGCTGGAAAGGGCCCTCCCCTTATTCATGTATGCAGATGAGGCTTCCTCCCTAGCTGCCTGGGTTGCAGAGGCATTGCCGGGCTGTGTGCTGTAGGTGGCAGAAATGGCTCAGACAAGAGCCAGGTCTTCTCCGGTGGCCAGCCAGTGCGTCTAAGCGACAGCAGCAGCCCGGGGCATTATGAAATGAAATCAGGAAGATGGCTAGGGGAGTGGGTTTCTGCAGTTGCTGGCCAAATTCTTATGGAGCTGTGATTTTTGCTCTCCCTGAGGTCTCAGACACTCTTGAGAATCTGGGGAGGACTCTGCAGCCTGTCTTTCAAATTTTACACAAAATTCCTGGATGGTGATGAATCTGTAGCCCCATTTGTTGACTTTAGGCAGAGCCTTCTGTTTGTAGTAAGTATGGACAAGGCTACAATATAAATGTTTCTTTCCTATCTCTCTCTTTCTTTCTCTCTCTGACTTACACACACACACACACACACACACACGACTCAAATGCACACTGAGCACAATAATGCAGGGTCCTTTGATTTTCATGAACCATTTTTACCTGCACCGTTGGGTCTGCAACAAAGTTCCCAGTGGATCAGTCCCTCTGCCTGAAAAGCAAGACATCAGCCAGCCTGTCTGAGCGTGTGTGGCTGCCTGTATGCAGGGCTGCGGCTTTGCCTGGTCTCCTCCCACAGTGGTACTGGAGAATACTGTGAGGAATCCCACATGCCCTGGAAGTGGCAGGAGCCAGCAAGACCCAAGAGCTCTCTTAGAATAGGAATCCTCAAAACATGTGGTCTCTGCCAAATCCAGTTAGGATCTCAAAGAAAGCCACTGCTCAGCCTGAAAGAGAATCAAGGTCCCCTTTTTGCACACTAATGCCAGTGTTAAGGTTCCCTATGCTTCTGACTTTATTTCCTGTGGCTCCAGCCCCAACAGTGATCCTTGGTATGGATTTTTGTAATCATGGCAGGGACTTTTGAATGAGTGGGTGGATGGATGGATGGACAGATAATATATAGCTTGGCCAGAATTATAGCAAGGGGTCATTTGTTAAAGGAGACAAATTAGGCATGGTCCTGTGGTCTTACAAGTAGTCAATATGTTCTTGATAAATAACTGATTGACTCTTTTGTGCAGAAGGCTTAGCCCATGTGTGTATGTATGTCCTGGCCAGGCAGAAAGACCTTAGCTCTACGGGAGTACCTGCTTTCCGTAACAACAGAGAGCACCTTGCTTTTTTTTTTTTTTTTTTAAGGTAGAGTTAGTGAGAGGGACACAGACAGAGAGAAAGGTCTTCCTTCTGTTGGTTCACCCCGCAAAGAGCCTAGTGAGCCGCGGCGCCGGCAAGGACACCTTGCTTTTGCTTTGTTTCTCATCTGAGGACTCTCCTAGAGAAATCCGACCTCTTTGACTATAAACTCACACACATTCTTCTGACACATCCCATCTCGTGAGCTGCCGGAGTAGCTGGTGCTTCTCAGAGCTGGCTCTGGACTACACAAAGCTGGTGTCCTGGTGGCCTTTGCTTAGACTCCATCCTAGCCTCTGCCAGCTGCCAACACTTTAACCTCATCTGTTCAGAATGATGTCCTCTGAACTTGAACTGCCTACTCTTTGTACTCAGGTCTGTTCAGGGATGCCAGGTGGACCCCTTGCTTGGGCTTTGGCTCATGCTATTTTTCTAGTCTCTAAGGCAGCTCCTGCCAGGGGCCAAACCCAGCCATGCTTACATATTGTCTACAGCTGTATTTGTGCTGCAGCAACATTGAGTAGTTGGACTGAGTCCATATAGCCACAAGCCCCCAAATATTTACTATCTTGCCCTTCACAGAGTTTGCTGAGCCTTGATCTAAACCAGTACTATTCTGAGGAGCCAGGCTGCAAATGTTGG